ACATTCCTCGTCAGTACTCTTTCTCCCAAACCAGAACTTATCTAGAAGAACCTCTACGCCGCGAGGTGTCTGTATACTGTCAACGTCATCGTTACCGCATCAGAGTTGGACCCCTGACTCGCTTAGTGCTCGCCTCCGCGCACACTCTTTCCATCACGACGCTGCGGTTGCCCGATACGTCTTCGTGCATGAACGATCCACGTCTGATCATGTCGTTTTTCGCGTGTCCTTTAAAATCGCTGCCTTTACACCAGCGCGTCCAAGGTTTGAACGAGGGGTGTATGTATTTTCTGCCTTTCCTCATGACATCACACTTGGGTCGACAGGTGTGGTGGCAGTGGTGCTGAAGTTGCAGTCTTCCTACCGACCCGAGTAATACATGCCGACGGGTTGCGCAGGGTGGTCATTGGATGTTGGTATCTGTTCACTTGGATGAACAGATGGGTGCGAGCCTTGGTCGCCGTACGCCCAATTCCCGTAACCTTCTCCAGACGGTCTCGAAAATTGATATTGCTGTTGCCACGATCCGTAATTGTTTGATGGCAGAACACCACCAGGAACCGAGCCTCCTTGCGTCATGGTGGAAGCCGGGCCACTTCCGGAAACAGTAACATTGGTCTGCACAGACTGAGGGTACATGTCAGCAGGCACATTGTGTCCCGTTCGCTCAAACGGCCGTCCATGTTGCTGAATCGACTGGTACGGCGGAGAAACGTGACTTTCGCTGCTATAAGACACAGCTCGAGGTGGAGCGGGGGCGTAGGCCGTCCAGGGTATGTCTTCCCGAACGCCGTGTTCGGAGTTTGACGCTGAGGCCCAGCCTGCTGGTGGGTTTGGTGCATTCGGTGTGTATGGCGAGAAGGACGGTGTAATGGGAGAATCGGTGCCTGCATAGGCTCTCCAGGACGCGTTCGAGTCAAGCGGTCTTGTTGCGGGATTAGGACTGCCCTCGGCAGCCATCCAATTCTGCATTTGCGGTCCACCCATGTCAAAGTGTCTAGAGCTAGCACTCGATGTCACTTGTTTCTTCAAGTTAGCGAACGTTACCGGCCCACGAGGACGCGGCGTTGCTTACATTTTGACTCCGAAGAATAACCTTCAGCATCAGTAGTCTTCATACCCAACTGCGGTGCAACATTCTGTGCTCCAGGTACATCTAACGGCGAGTATTGCAGACCCGTAGATAGTCCTTCAGGGGGATGTCGTGGAGCCAATGCGGGCGAGGGAGACGCAGAATCCATCTTGGAGCTGGTGGACGCTCGTGACGGCGCTTTGGGCCTAGCATCGGCGGTCGGCTGCTGGTCGACGGGAAAGAAGCTGCATTCCTTCTTCAGTCGAATACAGTTGACGCAGCGGCCTTGGACATCAGATGTGGATGGGATACAACGGATCTTCCGTCGTCGACAGTGGCCTAGTCAACGTGAGTTCTCAGGCCATCTTGGGAACACACAAAGACGTCACGGGAAGGAACTCACCAC